TTAAGGTTTGTAAAGCAATGTTTTTCTCATGCCTTTTTTTTTTTTCTATTTGTATGTTGTCTATCTAATATGCAAAGTAATTTTCATTTTAAGTTTAAAAATACTCTTATGCAACAGAAAATTTTCAAATTTCACATGTGAGATCTTTGTAATGTTCAGATAGTTATCAAACGTTTCTTAAGAAAAACCTTTATATTTTACCTGTTATTTTCAGTAATGAATCTCTGTACGGGTTTGGTAGATTTGACCAATCTCATAACCACCATAAAAAATTGGAAAAATTATAAATTATGCCTCTTTCATTCTAGAATGAACACAAAGTATAACATGAAAACATAAATGTTTAGACTAAATAGCTTATGTCTCATAACATTATACATTTATATATATTTTATTTTTATTATATTAAACTTTCAGCCGTACCTGGCTAACAATGCAGAAATTATAATGATGCGGAACACATGCAATTATGTTATTGTATCCAATAACATAAAACTGACCTTTGTTCTGTACAAAGTAACTTGTCATGGCTGTGTCTTAGTAGACTAGTATTTAGTAAAATACAGTCACATTTCAATTATTATACATTATATATGCATATAGATTATTGCTATTATAATATATTAATAATAGATTATTTAAATTAGTTCTTGAACTTATTTTCCTTAAAACTTAGAACAGTAAATAAAGAAGTAAAGCAAACAATTATCTCTTCTAGTTACAATCTTTGTACTCGGTTGGTGCTTGACGTAGGTTGCTAAGCCTTTCAAAATTTGACACATGGAGGATATGAAACATAATAATTTTTTTAGGTTTATATATATATACATTTGAATAACTAAAAAATCCTAAATCCTACATCAGTACCATAGAATTCTACTATAATTTATCAAGCTTAGTAACTAAGATGTATTTCAGTCTAAAAAAATATGAAATTTCGAGCAGACTAAAGACACACCCTATCTCCTTGAAATATTGGTTCAAAAGAGAGAATTGTGTCCAAGCCAGTTGAAATGGCTGAGAAAGCCACTAGGGGAACACATTCTGAGCTTCTGATTGGTTATTCATGTCATATATAGAAGTAAGAGTATAAAAGAGTAGTAGTTTCCAAAAAATGGAAAGAGGTGGGCAGGTTGCCACTGTTTGATTTATTACATGAGCAATATCTTAGCAAATAGAAAAGATAAGACATTCTTATTTTGTATTCTAGCTTGGCAATATTGGTAGTTTGAGTTCCTAATTTGTATGAAACTGTATATTTTGTATTTTGTCATAACAAACATCTAATTTGAACCAGTGCTGCATTCAACATACCACATGACACACAAAAATTGATGTTTAGCTGCATTATTTTAATATTGACTTTTAAATTAAGAAATTGAGTAAAGTATAATACTAAAATCTGAATTATAATCTACATTTTTATACCACAGTTATTGACATAAATTCATGAAATAGTATCTTCCAGAAGTAGTGCTATATCCCACAGGTGTGTTTTTATTTCATATTCTTGCTCACCTCTTCTTTAAGTGTAGTTTCTTTCCACTTGATTAGATATTGATGCTCCTTCACTGAACCCTCCACCTTTACAATGTAGGATTCTAGTTTTGGGTGAGAGGAGGAAAGACCGTTTTGGAAGTTAACATTTTCTTACACTGAAAATGTATTTCCAATAGATACTTACCTCTTCTCACCCACTTCCCATCCTTCCTCCCCACTGATATCCAGTGTTTCTGGTTTGTACCTGCCAATTCTTGAAAGTGAGAATTACTCTAGAATTGTAGAGGGAGCTAGCTGCACTAGGATCGAGATAGCTTTGGGTGAGAGGAGGTAAGTACCTATCAGAAATACATTATCAGTGTAAGAAAATGTTATCTTCAATTATATATATAGTTATTATTTACATTTAGATCAAGAACTTGATAAATCAAAATCGGGAACTTTCTGAACAACTTCAGCAAGAGAAGTCTCAATCCATGAAATTTGAAGAAAAAGTAAAAGACATGAATTCTGAAATCCAATCCTTGCAGACCCATTTGACAAGAGTAAGTTGGTTGAAATTTTATCATAATTCTGCAGTGACATCTCCTGAAGAAGGGCAACACATAAAACATTTTTAAAAAAATTAGATCTACAACAGAATTTGTTTATACCATGGCAATGAACCCAGTTAAATAATCTTACTTAGCTTGAGTTAGACTTTGCTTAAACCATGGATTATCAATGTGAGTACATTGTTTATCTGCATTTAATGTGGTTTAATGGCACGAGTGTACCATTTCGTAATTAAAGTGTTGTAATCTCTTATAACAAATATAATGGACTACCTTCTGCATAAGGTTCAGAATGAAAGACGAGTGCAAAATCTACACGCATTGGCCATGTATGTCTGTTTGATTCTTGATAATAAAAGGATAATGCTAATTATGAACAAAGTCACTTGACTTCAAGTCACTGTTCGAAAATTTTAAATGTTGTTAGATATATTTATGTATGAATGTTTGCATTGCAGGTTATGATGTCACATATACTATCTCCTCTTAACACTTAATCTTGTCCAAGAGTATTGTCAAATAATTATTCTACCTAGATATTGATTGTAGTGTATGGATTCATTATCAGGAAATTGAGGATAAAATTAAAGTTATTAGCTTTTCTCAGTAGATATGTTTTATTATTAAACTAATATAAAAAACAACCCCTTAATTCTTTGGTTACATACTTGATAGAGGATTAACATTTTTTATTATTATATAAAAATAATACTCTCATTTCATCAAAGCTTTTCAGTAGATCTAACATGTTAATTATAAAAATAACTTTTCTTTATAATTGTTCTTAATGTGTTGTTTAGAACATTAGATTGTAATAATATAGATATGCACAAAGTTTTCATGTTTCACGTTGAGTTTTGTAATCTGCTTATGTTATTGTTTATATTTATCTATTGTCACAATCATATACTATGTATAATTATTTATATGATTATCTGATGCTATAGGCCTTATCTGTAAATACCTTTATAGTTATAAGCTACTACATCATGTACACGACATTATAATTTAGACCAACTTGAACCCTTTTCTCACCCTACAAAAAAAGAATAATTTTTGGGATCATTGTAAATTTGTTTGAAAAACATTAGTATGGGAATGTTTATTTCATATTCAGCAAACAGAATACATTTTAAGGCAGCTTCTTCCATGTGTGTTGAAAGAATGGTATAGATACTATATAGCATATGACTAATTGGTCTAAAAAAGTGAAAGAAAACTGAGTAAAAAAGTTAGTTGGCTAAGAAAGAACAAAAGCTAAGAAGAGAAATAAATAAATTAAAAAAAAAATATATATATATATATTGTTCTTGTTTTATCAAGAACAAGAACAAAGCAGCTAAAATGTTAGGTGAATATATTTGAAAAGTTAATGTCTGAGAGATAGCTTTGCTCATATTTTTGCCAAGACAATACAAAATCAAAATTACTTTGTATGTTGGGTAGTCAACATTTCGATATGATATCTTAACTCTTCTACCAAAAAGTTTTCTCGACTTGTACTGCCCTCTATTGTTGCAAATTGTCATTTGCCACTAGCCTTGATACTACCACTTTTTTCTGCATACTTACATGCAAATGATTATGCAGCAACCCTCCACCAACAGAAGTGAGACACTACCCCTATTGTAAGGTGTAAGGATGTGGTGCCATCTATGGATGTAGTTAACGTTAACTTACGTTAAAGGTAATAAATGCTCAATAACAGCAATAATGGGAGGTGGAGGGGGTTGTGAACCCCACATTAGCATGCCCCCTCTTCTAAACTATTATCCTCCAAAGTTTGATTGAGTTTGGCCCAGCAACCTAGTAATAGTTAGATAATAGACAGACAGACAGATTTTTGTGCTTTATATGAGATATAGATTAATACAAACCTACTGTGAATTAAGAAAATAATAAATATGTTCTTGGTAGCAAAAAAAATAAAAATATTTTGTACTGGATGAGATTCAACTATTGGATGGTGGGACAGTACCAAAACCATTTCTGACTGTTTCTCATATTAGAATGTCTCATATATTTGTTCATGAAAGATGTTGAAAAAATTGCATTATTTTTGTTGGGAGGTTAAATTGTAGTTTGAACAAGCCTATAAAAAGATGTTTTTCCCAAATAGTTTGAGAAGTAAGAGTGAACCATTTTATGTATAGGAATGAAAATTAATGCTGAAAAGATGTTGAAACTAGCTAAAAAGACTTTATAAGAGTTAGGATTGATTTATTCCACTGACAGAAGTGTATGAAACACGGTTTGTAAATGATTGTAAAATGGGATTGAAGAATTTGGCCAGGTTGTGTTAACATGTGGTTAGCATGCCATGGTATCAAATGTGCTCATACTTTGGGTACATTAAAAATATGAAATTTGGTTGTTTTTACTTCTTTACTATAGTTAATCTGGATTTATAAGACATATTATCACTTGCCCATCGGGTTAATTCAATTTGCATCAGTATGACTGGGGAAGGACATTTATGTAAAAAACAAGGTAACTCTGAGCATTCCTCACAAAATCTTGCAAGATTTTTTGTTAAAGTTTATAAGTATTTTGTACACAAAGAATGACATTATTTTAATTGCATTTTCTAATAAAAATGTTATTTTTCTATAATAATTATTTGCACTCTAACTGTTAAAATACTTTGAGTGCGAGGTGATTTTCATTTTAAGTATAAAAATACTTCATCTTACAGTTTTCATATTTCATTTGCATGACCACAAGAACCTCCTAAATGAATATTAAAATTTTTTGAAAAGTAAATGTTTATATTTTATTTTCCATTTTCTCTACCACATCACTAACTCATTATCATCAACGTACAATGCAATGAAATAATTAAAATTAGGAAAAAGAAAATTTAATTTTTTTTTAGAATATCTTTAAAGATTTTCCTTTTGTTAAATTCGTAATTTCAGGTCTTTTCCTTGTCACATATAGTTAATTTTTAATGTTTTATTTTCCTTTCTTGTCCTTTACCACTTATTATTCATCTTGCCACAAGTCAATGGTGCCCTTGAGGCATAGTATGGTGTCTGGCAGATATGTGCAATCCTTTGGCAAAATTTGTGTGCACTGTGTAATATCGTAAGCCTTGAGAACTGACATAGGTATGACATATATTTAAAAATGTTTAAACCTTTCAGTTGTGCATTTTAAAACATAACTAATATATAATTAACTATAACATATTTAGGTAAGAAACAACTGCAAGGGCTATAGTCGATCAAGCAGTCAACAATACTACAGTCAGTTATATGTATTCTGTGATGACAACTGTATGCCAATTTCAAAATAACCAATCCTAGATTATATTGTAAAATGAACTATTTCTGATAACTATATACATGTGTATGTAACATCTACATGTAGGCTGCAAGGCTCAAACAAAACTGTTGAAGGTAGACATGGCACCTGTCAGGGGTTGAAAATAATTATTACTTGTTTCAAATGCATTTATTCAGAGATCTTTAAAATGTAGGAGTCAAAAGGTTATGTAAGCATGTTATAGTATAGACGTAGATCTGCAGACTACCATTGTATTATTGAAGATACTGAGTGCCAAAGTAGAGAATTTTCATAGCTCATTTGTCACATGACATTACATCTGAAGTTTAAGTAGTTTTTAGAGGTTTCCTTTGAAATAAAGGACTTAAAACTTAGATAACAGAAAACTTCAAATCATAACATACATTGTAATGTTAATTTAATCGCATAAATCGATAGTAAAGATGTTATTAAATTTGAATGTAACATGGTGACTCCCGTAGAAAAGTTTAAAGGGGTACCTGTGGTTAAAGGGTTATTTTAATCAAATCAATATTTATAAAAATTTGGAGTGATTGAAAAATTGTTGCTGAGTGACAACTATATTTTTAACTGTTTTTGGAGTCCCTTCTCATGCATAAGGTAATGGATAAAATATTTGATTGACACCAAGAAGAGAATGTTATGTTTGTTTTTTCACTGATTATATTTTAATATGCCCTGTTTTATTAACCCAAGGAACAAGAAGAAACATTAATAAGGGAATCTGAAATGGACAAAAAGCTAGTTGAGCTGAAACAAATGAAAGTGAGGAGTCAACAGCTAATCACTGAACTACAAAATAAGTTAATAACTGTTCAAGAATTGTACCATAATGCTGAACAGAAAAGTAGACTGCTTACAAATGAAAAGGTGAGATTATAAAGCATTCATTGCCTATTTTTCATATATTACTCATGACAACTGTAAGAAAATGTTTGTTTAGTAATATTCATACTATCATCTTTCTTTACTTATAAAATTTTACTTTTAGGTAATAAGGCCAAGTGTGGCTTATTAATTTGTGTGCTCAAATTGTAAATCTGTGGGTTTATGGTTCATTTCCCATTGTTGCAACAATGTGCTTCATACTTTGGTTCCATGACTGCTTTCTAAGAGTGATGTTCATATCAGGTTTTATGTATGGATGGGCTGGATTCTTTACAGTAGGTGCCTGTGACTTGTTTATGATCAAGTTCAACGATAAACAAACACCACACAGTCCATTTGTTTTAAAATAATATATCAAAACAAGTCAAATGTATATACAAATGTTTGTAACACTGTTGATTATTACTGTACAGTTGTATCCAGAACTTTAAATAATAGTCTCTTTTTCATCAAAGTCCACACAGGCTGGTTCAATTACTTTAGAATACAATTGACAAGATGAATTATTCTTCTCTGCTTTGTTATTACAATACAATGAGTGATAATAATTTAAAATTACACTGTTGGCTACCTCAGTTGTACAGGTTTGTTAAATTACCTTGGAACACAATTGATAAGACAAATTATTATTCTCTACTCTGTTATTGCAATACAATCTGTGATAATTTTACTTTAAACATTACCAATATATGCTTTTCATGGCTAAATTCACAATCATGCAGTCTAGATCTAGTTATCTATCTGACTAACTTCTGTATCTAACTATATCTTACTCGGACTATATTTTGTACTCGTATTTATAGCCTGACTGAGGCCAAGAACGTTCTACACACTATGAGATATTATGATGCAATAATACTCAATCAAAACAATGGGAAAAGCTTAGAATGTTCTTGAACATGATGTAATAACACAACAATTGAACTACACAATGTATGGTTCGATAAACTATCCCTTCTAAAAATAAGTAAATTTAACACTCGCACTATACTTAAACAGAAACAGTCATGTATACCTAACAGTTTGAATCTCCAATTTAGTCAGACAAGAGTAGCCCAAAATTGGTAGTGGGTGCTGTTGATTATCTGCCTTCCCTCTAGAGTGTCAACATTAGGGATGGCTGTTTATAGATAATACTTGTGTAGCTTTACGTGGAAATTCTGATAAACAAACAATTAAATTTAATTAATAGTATCTCTGTAGCTGCAATAGATATTTCTAATAAGATCTTTGGATCATATGTTCTTATGAAATTATTTTTGTTCTAGTCCTTTTCACTTTTGTCTTCCCTTCAGAAATTATGATATTGAAATAGTTTTTTAAATATAATTTTTTTAACTAGCTTTTAATGAGATCTGAAAAAATGACAAGAGTTTTTGCCTTAACTTAGGCACCCTGGTGTGTTGATTTGACACATCTGTTGTATGGTCTATTTTATTGCATTGAATAAAAACACTACTGGATAAAATAGTGTTGAATTTTAGTTACAATTTTTACAGAATAGTAAAACTTTATGCTTAAAAATATTTTAACACAAATCAAACAATTTTTGTAAATTAATCCTATGTGTATGGGCGAGGAGCCAAAGTATGCATGCCATGACCTTGTACAGAGTGCCATTCACCATGATATTATGAATTTGGTGTCAAAGTTATTAACTTTTCCTTTTTCCGTACATTGCTGTTTTTGTAACATTTCATTTTAGAGTAGTGAAAATATCAAATACAATATAAAGAGATACCAATAAAACCTTTAGATATGCTTTTAGAGGTTATGCAAATGCAAACTGTATGATGGAAAAAGTACTTTTATTCTTCAAATGAACATCACATGTCAAAGTCTGAGTCAGACTGACTTTATCAATTCAAAGACATCTTTAATACACACATATTATTAACCCTATCACACGGGTATCCTTTACTGCACATGACACAAGTTTTAGTGTCTTACATTCAAAACTTTATTAAACTACTTTTTGTTTGTTATACCAATTAGAATAGCATAAAATCTTAGCTAATAATCCATATTTTAATAGTATATAAATTTTAAGTTCTTAATTCTAATAGACAATATTATTAAAAATCCTGAATTTCCACTAGTGTGACCCAAGTGACACATTTTCTTTTAGCATGTCATCTTCCTAATTTTATCTACCACCCCTCAAAAAGGTACAAATTAAACATAAATTACTCTATATAAAATCGTCATTGCTCAGACTAAGTATAATTTTCATAGTCTTCAATTTTGTTTTGTTACAGAGCTATCGAATAGAAAATCAGACCTCTCCTGCCGCACCTACCTGTCACATCCACTCTTTCAGAATTCATTAATAGTTTTCTCTTAGGTTTAATTATATTACCTATAACCAATAGAAAGTCAAGGTTTTCATCTACCAAATGACGTATAATGTTATGTTCTGAACGATTAAACATCAATTTCACTCAGAGTACCAACATCGTTCCAGTGAGAAAGTTAACAACTAATTTGGATGAGTTTGTAATGACCCTTGTTGCATAGTTAGAAAGCCAGAAAAATTTTGTGATAGTAAGGAAATTTGTTTACTTTTTTGCATATTATTAGTCTATATTCTTTGGTGCATTACTATCATTGGTATAAAAAAAATTAGGGTTAACTCTTTTCGACAATTGACAGCAATAAAAAAGAAGATTGGTTGAGTACTTTGTTTCTTGTTTTTCATGTTTATTCTTTGTCTAATTATAAAAATAACTAAAAT